GCAAGTGACCTCAAATTGGCTTTACCAAGAAAAGAATGTATTGGGTTAGTGTAGGTGGGTAGTTGGAGGCGGGAGTGGGTAGGATTCAGGAGTCCCTGGGACCAAGTTCTCAAGCAGTATCACTGATTCTGCTCGTCTGTCTCTGTCCCCATCTCTCTCTCTCTCCATGGACAAGCAGTTATGAATAAAGCTGTCCAAACCTGGAAGCAGCCAAGATATCCTTCAGTGGATGAATGGCTCCATAAACTGTGGTACATCCAGACACTGGAATATTATACAGTACCAAAACGAAGTGTGCTATCAAGCCACAAAAACACATGGAGAAAACTTAAATGCATATTACTAAGTGAAAGAAGTTAGTCTGAAAAGGCTACAGACTATGTAATTCCAACTATATGGCATTCTGGAAAAGGCAAAGCTATGGGCACAGTGAAGAGCTCAGTGGTTGCCTGGGGTTGTGGGGTGGAGGGAGGGACGAACAGGCGGAGCACAGAGGATTCTTAGGACAGTGGAACTAGTCTAAGTAGAATATGATACTTTGATAGTAGATACATGTCATTATACATTTGTCCAAACCCACCAAATGTACGCAACCAAGAGGGGGCCCTCCTGTGAGGTTCACAGATCTGGTGGGGGACGTTGGTAGTGAAGCAGGCTGAGCATGTGGGGCGGGGTATGTGGGAAACCTCTGTGACTTCTGCTCAGTTTTGCTATGAACCTAAAACTGCTGTGTGACTTACAGTCTATTTAAAACTAGGAAACAAACAAGGTTTCTGCAGCTCTCACAGTTGGAGTGTACAGCACACATCCTCTGCCTGTGTGCTTTCTCTTTCTATTTCTCTACATTGCAGTTTCCCAACTAACCCAGGGGACGGTTTCCTCATTTCAATTTGTCTTTTTAGTAGCATTTCTTCTGATGACAGAAATAACATATGTACAAAATTTGGAAAATAAAAAAGGAAGAAACTGCAAAAAAAGGAACAAGCTTACCTCAAATTGCTCCGGCCAGAGATATCAATTACATTTTGGATAGTGGCTGGCAATATACTGTTTACTTAATTTAATATTGCATTATTCTATTAATATCACATTTCTCCATTACAAAAACTTCAAGAGCATTATCATTTTGGTAAACATATCATGTGTGGCCATACCATGGTTTAGTTAATCATTCAGCATTCAGGCGGTAATATTTAGGATGGTTTCAGTTTTGCACTATTACAAATAATGTCTTGAATGTCTGTGTTGTTAAAACTTTGTTGAATTTTTGAATTATTTCCTACACTTTGAATTATAGGCTTGAAGAATATGGACATTTTGGTGATTCTTATTCTATTACAAGATTGCTTTCCAGTAATTTTGTATCTGTTTATACTCTCAGAAATAGTACATGAGGGTTTCTTTCTGGTTTTAGTAAGTAACAGAATTTAAAAGACAATTTGTTGACTTGATGAAATTGGGGACAGAAATGGTATCTCACTGATTTAATGAACATGTCTTTTTTCCTAGTAAGGCTGAACTTTTAAAACTTATTTATTGATTATTTGAATATCCAATTTTGTGAATTGTCCATTTGTGCCATTTGCCCAATTATACTGGGATCTTACTGTTTTCCTTATGAATTTGTAAGAGTTCTATTTTATTTTCATAAATATTTTTCTCAATTTTTTATAGTTTAATTTTTTATGTCAAACTTATTTTAAAAATGGAAATATCTTTCTCCTGAAAAACAAAGTAATGGAGCAAGGATGTGGAGAAAGGGGAACTCTTGTACACTGTTGGTAGGAATATAAAATTGGTGCAACCACTATGGAAAACAGTACAGAAGTTTATCAAAAAACTAAAAATGGAACTATCATATGACCCAGCAATCCCACTGCTGGGCATATGTCCAAAGGATGGGAATTCAGTATATCGAAAAGATATCTGCACTCCCATGTTTACTGTACCACTATTCACAACAGCCAAGATATTGAATTAACCTAAGTGTTCATCAACAAATGAATGGATAAAATTGTAGTACATATACACAATGGAATATTATATAGCCACAAAAAGAATGAAATCCTGCCATTTGAAACAACGTGGATGGAACTGGAGAACATTATGATAAATGAAATAAGCCAAGCACATAAAGACCATGTTCTCATTCATGTGTGGGAGATAAATATTGATAACAATTGATCTCATGGGACAGGGAGTAGAATGACAGTTACTAGAGGGTGGGAAGGGTGGCAGGAAGGGAGGATAGAATAGGGATGATTAATGGGTAAAAAAATATAGTTAGAATGAACAATATTTGATAGCACAACAAAGTGACAATAATCAACAAGTCAGGGTATACTTTAAAATAACTGAAAGAATGGAATTGGAATGTTCCTAACACAAAGAAATGTTAAATGCCCAAGGTGATGGATGCTCCAATTACCCTGATTTGATTAATTCTCATTGTATGCCTGTATTGAAACACCACATGTACCCTATAAAGATATACAACTATTATGTACCCATAATAATTTAAAATAAAAAATTTTTAAAAATGGGCTCTCATGGTAAAAAAATAGTCACATATAAAGAAGAAAGTAAAAATCTTCGACATTCTGTCCCTTGAACTTGAACTAACATTTTTGGAACATTTCTTTCCAAACTTTTATCCTATGTTTTAATGATACTTTTTGAAGTTCAAAAATACATTTTATGTACCTCAAACCAAGCATTTTTAAATTTCAATGTATCCTCCAATGCTTTTGTGTTTAGAAAAGCCTTTTCAATGTAGAGATCAGAAAAAGAATCACCTTCTTTAAAAACAGAGCGTGGTTCTTTTTATGAAGGTGTTTTGTCATATTACAGAATATTTAGGAAATTAAGGGGAAAAGATCAGCCTTAATGTATTGATCGTAACACATCTATTTCCTTTATGCATTCTTCTTTCAAGTCTTTAATTGTGAGCTTTTAATTTATTTTTATGTGGTTGCAAGGGTAGTGCATGTACAATTTCCTATCTTCCCCTTTTGGCTCATAATTGTGCCATAAGCATTGTTTTCATATTGCTATATAATCTCTGTAATGTGTTGTTTTAAACGAGTCCTTAATGACCCCTCCTGTCGCTGCGCTGTCATAGCTGACCCCATCCGCTGATGAACACTTCCATTGCTCCCCACTTCTCTGTCAAGTGGTATTTTGAAACAGCAAAGCCCAGTGAAGCTGAATCTCCCACTGTTCCCGGGGGCTGACTGTAATAGGATTTGACTTCTGCTCCTTTCCTCCGAGGAGTGTTGGAAGAAATCGCTTTCAGAGAATGGTTAGAAAAACAACAAACATAAAATTAGGAAGAAGGAGATGCATGTTGAACATTGAGGAGAAGGCTGCTTTAGAAACTAAGGCTGTTTAGGTTTTTCTTTTGTGACTCACAAATTGGGCATGAGTTTATAATAATAATTTTGACAAATGCTTTTCACTCATGTGGTATTGGTGTTTTTTAGGGCTTTGGTGGAGGAAGGCCTGGGGCTGGATCTCTGCTTGTCATTTGCTGTGTGTGACTTTTAGCAGTGATGCAGCTGTTCAGCGCCAGCCTGTCTTTCTGCAGAACAGGAGTTTAGTCAGCCCCTATATCCGCAGGTTGGGCACCCACAGATCCAACCAACTGTGGATTGAAAATATTCAGAAAAAGAAATACAACAATAAAATAATCCAGATAAACACAATATAGTATAACAACTATTTATATAGCATTTACATTGTATTAGGTATTATAAGTAAACGAGACATGATTTAAAGTAAAAAGGACAATGTGGGTAGGATATATGCAAATACTGCAGCATTTTCTATCAGGGACTTGAGCATCTGTGGATTTTATATCCACAGGGGTCCTGGAACCAGTCTCCCCCTTGGTACCAAGGGACAGCTGTCACAATAGGCCAGGAAGGAGGGCAGATTCACATCATGGCAGTGCTGTGGTGACAGATGAACTGAGAGTAGCCAGAGAAACTGCAGGAGACCTTCCAGGGAAGAGAGCAGCCTTTGTGAACCCAGCCTGGATCTTCCATTCCTGGGCCTCAATTTCTCCATTGGTATACCAGGCTTGGTGTGTGGTCTGCAAGAACCCTTCCTGTTCCTCCAGGGAGCCCCTCAATCCTGTCCCTGGCCAGCTCTGCTCCTCTGCCTGCAGCAGCCCTGGTCATGCCCAGGCCTCCTCAGCAGGACTTGCTCTGTTCCACAAGCCCACAGTTCCTGAGAGACTTCCAGAGCCAGGCCCTGACCTCTAGGGCAGCAGAGTGCTGTAGCCCTGACATGTTTTGGGGTCAGGGTTGGGTATCAGCAGACTTAATATGTGTCTGTTAACCTATGATGGTGTCATTGATGGGTTGCTGAAGCGGTTCACAATAACCTCATTTCTCTGTGAATAGTATCATTAATCGTTTCCTTTCCTGCACGGGATAGGAGACAAGCCAGCAAACAGTGGTGGAGAGCGTGGGACGCAGAGTCAGAGATCTATTTCCACGATGTCTTATTTGTAAAATGGGAATAATACTAGCACCTACCTCACAGGTCTGTCGCGGAGACTGAGATAATGCCTGGCAAGTCACTTGGCACCCAGTAAGCCAGGCACGCAGTGAGCGCTCAGTAACGTCGGGTGGTTGTTATTTTAATAAATTGTTAACAAACTGGAAGGCGAGTGCCTGTGGGCAATGGACTAGGCTCTGCCGGCAGGGGTGAGGAGACGTCACGGAGGCGCCCAGAGAACCCGGGTGGCGACGCTGGGCACCCGGCGGGAGGTGAGCCCGCGAAGCAGAGGGGCTCCGGCGCTCTCCCAGCCGCCCGTCCTCCACACAGGGCGGCGCACCCGCCGCACACGTTAACCTTTGATTGTCGCGAGCACCCCTCTCCTCCACCTGGCCTCCTTTCCTGGGCGGCAGGATAGCGACTGCTTGGGAGGGGCACCAAGGCGCCAGGCCCGCGGCGGCGCCGATCCCAGGACTGTCGTGTTAGTCCCGCCCCTGGGCGGTGTCGCCCGAGCGTCCGGGGTGTCCCTCTCCACGCAGCCCCGAGCGCCCGCGCGTGCCCCTCCCTTCTCGCGGACCTCGCGCTCCCGGCGCCCGGAGTGGCCCTTTAAAAGGCAGTGCCCCGTCCGGAGGGGCGGGCGGGGGCGCTGACCGCTGCCCGAGGCCCGGCCCCCGTCCCTCCCCCTCGCTCCGTCCCCGCGTCGCTCGCTCGCCCGCCGGCCGGCGCACGCTCCGCCCCCGCCAGTTGGCTCCGCGGTGTGGTGCGCGGCGTGGAGAGGGAGCCGGTCTGGACGCGCGGCGGGGCTGGGGGCTGGGGGCGCAGCGCGCGCAGCTTCCCCGAGCGAGATCGGCGCCCGCCACCGGGCGAGGCCCGCGCCGCGATGGCAGAGATGGGCAGCAAGGGGGTGACGGCGGGAAAGATCGCCAGCAACGTGCAAAAGAAGCTCACCCGCGCGCAGGAGAAGGTGAGCGAGTCGGAGCCCCAGCCGCCGCGCCATCCCTGCCTCTTGTCTCTCCACCCTCCGTCCCCGGGGGACGGTCCTCACCGGGGTTGGGCGCTGTCACCTCCAGACTAGAGCTTCCGAAGGCTTGGAGGGGACCACAGGCTGAGCTCACCCCCGCCCACCCCGTGTCCCTGGAGCCCTCGTCCTCGGTCTTTCCACCCCCGGCTGGGGCAGGAGAGGGCGCAGCTGTCCCCTCGCTCCCTTCGTCTGGACGCTTTGTACCTTCGCCGCTGGTCTACAGAGAAGTGGCGGCCCACGCTCTGGGCTCTTGGGGCGCACGGTCCAGGCTCGCCCCGCTTTGGATGCCGGGGGCCGGAGGCTGGGAGGCCAGGAGGCCGGGTGGCGATCCCAGCTCTCCAGGCCCACGCAGGCAATCCGGGCGGTGCCGGCGCTTGGGGAGCGAGAGTCTGTTCCTCCGACCCCGGGAACGCTCCATCCCCAGACTCCCGAGCCGGCTTCCAGCGCCCGCACCCGCCGTTCCCCTCCCACCGCCTCTTCGCTGGCGTTCACCGCGGGCTGAAGGAGGGATCTGGTTTCCTTTCCCGAGCGGTGCCTGCGGCCTGGAGGCTCCGGCCGGCCCGCCGGGGCAGAGGGCTGCGCATCCCTCGAGGAGGTGCCCTCATCCCAGCAGGGGCTGAGCGTTTTCGGCGGCTCAGAAGGGGTGGCGGCGCTGGCTTTCGGGGCCCCTGGCCCTGGTGGGGAGCCGGCCTAGAGGAGGGGCGCCGAGGGCGCCGCAGGAAACCCGAGCCCTCCTGCTGGAGAGCGGCTGGCTGGAGTGGGGGGTGGAGGCGGTCTTCCCGGGGCACCCTGAGTGTGCAGGAAATGCAGGGGTTGGGGCGGGGGTCTGCCCCTGTCCGCTTTCTGTCCCAAGCCACCTCTGGTTTATTGAATTGGATCACGCCAGCTGCTGACGCCACTTCCCCTGCCGACTCTGACTCTGAAATCTGAGATTGCAGAATCCGTGTTTGTGCCCGGGTGGGCCCCGGTGCTGCGCGGCGGGACCTGCCTCCTCTCCAGCCCTCCCACGGCCGCCCGCTGCATGGGGACCCAGGGGCAGGCCGGCCTTTCCCTGCCAGGCCTTGTGGCTGTTATAAACAATGACTTTTGCAGCTGAGACCTGGGGGCTCCCTAAGGATGCAGCCACGTGACGGGGGTGGGGGGTGGGGGGGGCTAGAGCTGCCCTTGCACCTCCCGCAGAGTCTCACTGCTTACCCTTGTGGGTCCCGGGGCAAGGGGGGTGGGCTGGCGTGCATTGAGGGAAGGGCCCTCAGCCAAGCTCCAGGTCTGGCCAGACCCAGCTTGCCCACCCCGCACCACAGGAGGGAAGAGGAGGAGGAGGAGGGGGAGGGGGAGGGGGAGGGGGGAGGAGGAGGAGGGATTAGAGCCCCCAGGAATAGCTGGTTGGGTGCTGGGAAGACTTGAATCACATAGCTACCTTTGCCCCTGCCCACCCCCTTGACAGGGTAATCCATCTGGGGCCTGAGCCTGCTGCCTGCCCCTGAGGAGCCAGGGAGATGAATGGGAAGCCCTGGGTTAGCGAGACAAGTTCCCTGCCCCCACCCTACTGACTCCCGTTTGCTCTTGGTGTGTCCCCTTTGCCCTGGCTGCCTTTTCTCTGCAGCAGCACCTTTGATGTCCTCCTAGGGACAGTAGGCATGGGCTGTGTATCACTGACCCACTGAGCTGCCAGCCCTCTCTCCCAGGCCCTGTTGTGTGGCTGTGGGCAGTTGCCTGACAGCTGGTCAGCTATGGCTGCTGGTCTTGGCCAACAGCTGGCCTTGCCCAAGCCTGAGCTTTATGGGGCCGGAGTTGCTTAGTGCTGCAGCTGCTCTCTGCCTGCTGGAGACTGGTTAAGGACCCTCCCCCATCAGGAGCCAAGACTCCTGGCTAAGTCTCTGAAAGTGGCTCTGCCCTCCCTTCTTGGCCCAGCGACAGGCCCTGCCCCCAGAAAGCCCCGTGCCTCAACCTACACCAGCCTCTCCTGTCTGCCTTCGTGCCATACAGAGTCTGTGTCATAGCCTGGGTGCTGCTACACAGTATCTTTGCGTGGTGTTCAGTACCCCTGTCACTGGGCCTACAGTAGGCAGACCTGCCATCGTCCCTACCTTGCCTCAGTTAAATCAGTGAGTAATGGGGCAGTTCCAGTTTCCCTGTGGCTGTCCTGACCGAGGACAGCAGGAGCTGTGATGGAAGGCCTACAGAGTATTGGCCTAGGAAGAAGGGCCCCCATTTGCCATCCTCTCTGCTTCTCCCCCAGTCTTCCCACATGTCTTCTCAGCCCGACCATCCAGACTCCAGGGGTGACAGTGAGGTCAAGGGCAGCTTGTCCCTTGGAGTGGGGGCACCATGGGGTCCCCAAGCTGCCTCTGCACTGCCTGTCCATGGATCCTGACTTGTTGACCTGCCTGTCTCCTCTGCTGGTCTGGTGCTTCCTGAGGGCAGGGCAGACCCATGTATGTGCACCAACGACATTCACCTGGCTCCAGTAGGGTCTTAGTGAATGTTTATGAGCAAACAAGGGCATTTGGTGGCTTGGCTTGAGAGCCCTGACGCAGGCCGATGGGTACACTGATTGTACTGCATGCTCCTGTGCCTTTCCTCGTTCATCAGATCCTGCCTGGACACTTGCCTGGTGCCTTGTCCTGGCCTGAGTCCCCAGATGCCGTCTCAGGCAGGGTGCCTGTGACTCTGGCCTGCACAGAGCTTTGTCTTGTAAGGTCTGGTGGCCTCTGGCCCTGGGGTGAAAGCACCACTGTTGCTGGTCCCCAGCCGCTGCCCCCAGAGTGCCTGGGGTGCGCAGTGTGTACCTGGAGCTCTGGCCTATGGGTGCCATGAGGTCATCTTCCCATTGCGTTTGGCTTGTCGGACCCTCTATAAATGGCTGTGTCCATTTTTGGGCCTCAGAAGGGTGGCTGGGTAAAGCCAATTTAGGGTGGAGCCTGGGTCAGATGACTGAGAGGATTAGAGGTTGGCAGGCTGGGCCCCTTGGGGGTTGGGTGGCTGGGAAGAAGGACAGTTGGGGTGGGGGGTGGGATCTGGCCTGCTGGCTCTTGAAGCCCACCGCTAGAGGGTCTACTAGAGTGGGAGGCTGGACCTTGCTCTGGCAGAGCGGGGCTGGTGATGAGCACAGGAGGAAGGCCCTGGCAGGGGTGGAGGTGTGACCCCGTCCATCCCTCCTGGCCAGCCCTGAGCCTGCTGGGAGGGGTGCAGGCTGGACAGTGGGGAGGGCCTGCTGGGAGCAGGGAGGGCCCAGGCTGTAGACGCTCACTAAAGGAGGGTGCGACGGTGGTGACTTCTAGGTCCTGGATGCACAGCCGCGAATTGCACTGCACTTATCTGTGTGCTCAAGGTCTCCCGGCACAGTAGCCACCTCAGCCTCCTCAGTAGGGGCCAGGCCTGCACACCAGGGTTGTCCTCTTCACAGCAGCCTTAAGAGTAGCCATGCTATACCCAAGGGTGGGTGCACGCGGCCCCTTTAATGGAAGAGGCATCTGGGGCCATCTGGGTGACGGAGCTGGAAGCCCACCCAGATGCCCTGGGCTCCTCCCACCTAGGCCACTGACTTTGCAGGTGCCCTGCCCCTTCCAAGCCCCAGGCCTAAACTGTCGCCCTCTACCGGTAATTCCTGCTGTTCTGTCTTGGTGTCCATGTCTGTCCTTGAGTGTCTGAGGCCTTGAGTGTCCCTGTTCCCTGCCCTCCAGCTGTCTTGCCTTTTCCCCTCTCTGTTGCGCCTCCCTGCTGTGGGCCTCGTCTCTCTGAGCCCGCACGGGTGTTTCCCACACCTCTCCAGTCTTGGAGCACTTCTCCCTGAGCCCAAGTTACTTATGTAGATGGTTCATCTCACCCGCTGGAAGGGGGTGCCTGAGTGGGCATCCTCTCTGGACGGGTGCGTTTGGGCTCCGTGGCATTTGGCTAAGGCCTTGGGAGGTTAGAAGCGTGGCCTCCAGACTTCCCCAAGCCCCCAAGGGCCCTGGGTGGCTTCAGTATAGTCTGGTGGCTCATGGCAGGGGTCCAAGCCAGGCACAGGTTGTTTGCCCAGGGGGGCTGAGGAGGGGGGCGCGCTGGGCTGCATGGGGCACAGGGAAGGAGAGGGTGTTCCAGGAGGCACAGGTGTGGGCCAGGCTGAGGGGCAGTGAGGACATGAGGATGCTGGGGCCCTGAAGATAAGGGTTGGCTGGGTAGTAGATTCGGGTCAGTCTTATCAAGTCACGAAAACCGGGCAAATCCATGTACCCCAGGGATGCTCAGGAAAGGCTTGACCTCTTCTCCATCCTCCGTCAGGGTTCCCTTCCCACATGGCATCTGACCAGGCCCTTGACCCTGGATTGGCAGTGTCAGCCCAGCTGGTTCCTTGCAAGCTGTGAGATGGGATGGAATGAGTAGGGTGCTCCTGTCCATGAGGCTCCAGAACCCCTGAGTCCTACCCTCTGTGTGAGGCCCTCTGTCCTCAGATGGCTACTGGAGGGATGGCAGGGAGCTCCAGGGCTCTGGGGTCCCCTGCCTGGCTGTGGGACCTTCTTGAGCCCAGTTTCTTCAGGCAGTAATAATGGTTCCTCTTCACATGTGTGTTGTGCAAAGTAAAGCCTCCAACAGGTGCCCGGCACATAGCAAGTGCTCATTAAATGCTGGCTCTGGGGCAGAACCAACATCAGCCTGCACAGAGAGCCCTCCCTCCCACGCCCCTCTTCCCTGCCCTGTGCCCGAGAGTGTCCATTACAGGCCTCTATAGACAGCTAATCCCTGCTGAGCCTGGAGCCGATCAGGCTTATGATGTCACAGTCCTGTGGTGGTGACTGTGTATGTGCGTGTGTGTGTGTGTGTAGAGGGTGGAGGGCTTGGATCCAGAAATCAGATAGTTTTGGGGTGAGTCTTGACTCCTACATATAAACCCTGTGACCCTGTGTAAGTCTGCTCCTCATCCCTGGGCTTTCCTTTTCACCGTCAGTAAAGTGATACTGGGGTTTGCTTGTTCATTTACTTACCCGCGCAGCAGATATCCAGGGCCCACCCTCCCCTGGGCACTGTGCACGGGGACTGGGGCCATGGGGGAGCAAAACCAAGCCCCTGCCCTCCTGGAGCTGACATTCTTGCTGCAGGAGACAGTGGGGAGCCGCAGCTGCGATGGCAGGTAGTCAGAAGAGCAGTGAAGCAGGAGGTGGCCTCTGGTTTCCTCAGTGGAGACTGGCTGGTGTGGAGACTCAGTGGGGGCGGGGCGCAGGTGCTCACACAGCGGGAGGATGCAGGGTAGAGGCCGGTGGGCAGCTCTGGTCTTCTGTTGGATGCCACCCTGGTATATGGTGTTTTCCTAAAGCCACCTCTTTGGCAAGTCTCCTTTGGGGATTAGAAGTGCAAAGAAAAGGATATCAGTTTTATGTGGACAGAGGGCAGGCCTGGGCAGATGTGCAGCCTCCGCGGGTGTTTGTGCAGGGCCAGGCGGGCGGGGGCCCCGCCCAGGAGTAGGGTGGGGGAGGTTAGAGGGGCTGCTAAAAGAGAGGAGGAGGAAGGCATGACAGGTGGCCTCGACTGGGGGTGGGGGTGGGGGGTGGGGCTGCAGCAGCGTGGTGTAGTGGAGCCCATGAAGGCTCTCGAGAGCTCTGTCTGTGTCCTTCCCACATGTTGCTACTCTTGGGCAAGTCATGCTCGCTTCTCTGAGCCTCGGTTTCCTCATCTGAAATAGGGGTAGTGATCGCTGCCACTGGGGCTGTTGTGAAGTGGGAGCGTGTGGGGTGGGGAGCGGCTCCAGGTCCTGCTCCGCCTGAACTCACGGCAGGGTTTGCCTGCTGCTGTTCTCCTGCTGCAGAAGGCACGTGCTCGGGGCAGCTGGCACCTGGCTGCTGGGCTCCCCGAGAGGCTGCGATCTCCTAGAGAGGCCACAAGGTCGGGGACATGCCAAGGGCTGACTGGGGTCAGTGCTGGGGAGCTGAGCAGAGAAAGGCAGGCTCTTTCTGCCCCTAGGGGAAGCCTTTGCCAGACATTGACTTAATAATAGCGTAGTGTCACTGCATACCTGCCTGAAAACAGGTGAGGGCACTGGGTCCCATCCAGCAAAGGAGGAAACTGAGGCTCGAGTGGTGGTGTGACTAGTCCACCTTCCTTGTGGTCAGTTGGTGGGGCTGGCCTGGAGGAAGCCTGCCTCCCCCACCAAAGACCTCACGGTGAAGGGCGTTGCTGTGACAGACTTTGGTCCCTAAGTCTCTCCCCTATTAAACAAGAATTGGAGCCCCTATCTGCCCCCCAGCCCCACCTGGGATCTAGGCTTACACTCTGGGTGTGTGGTGGAGTCTGGGGCCGAGGGAAGGCCTGGGGTTTCCAGAGGCAAGTCCAGAGGCGGGAATTTGCATGCAAATGAGGACAGAAAACCTGTGGTGTGTGGTGTTTCCCAAGTAATAAAAGCCACATCCAATCTATTCCATCTGAAGGAACACTCCTTATACTGAGATTGTATCCTGTCTACTTTTGTTTTTGTCATTGCTACAGTCTTTCTTTTATGCAATCATAGTGTAATACTAGTTGCTTTTTATTGTTCTTGCAGAGAAAATAGCCATATGGCTGACCCGCACACAGGGAGTACTTTTCCTGCTGTGGCATCCCATGCTCTGGGCACATGGCTGCCACCCCTGTGGCCCACCTCGAGGCTTGAGGCAGTCCCATACATTTCTGCTCCACAAGAGCTGGGCTCTGCCTACTGTGGTCACCGTGGCACCTGCCACCTCACCTTGGCACACAGTAGGTGCTCTGTGCATATTTGTTGCATGCATGGATGTGTGGGTCCTTCAGGCAGCGGGAGACGGTGCTGATGGCTGGCAGAACCCGGAGGCCCCTGGTGTCAGGTGCAGGTGGGAGGGAGAGCTGGCTGTGACTGCAGGATGCAGGCTGGGGCTAGGCTGGAGGGTGCAGATCCCGCCCTGCCCCAGGTCACACCCCCTTGTCCCTCAGTGGAGTGATGAGTGAACTGCTTAGGGCCGTGGCGGGGCCTAGCCTGAGCCAGTGGCTATAGCGCTTGGTGCCCAGTAACGCGGTTCTTGTGATGGGCCGGGGCCCTGCCTGGGAGTCCTGCCTGGCTTTAGGCCAGGTGCCAAGTCCAGCTTGGCCTCAGCCCTCTGCAGAGGGTATCCCAGAAAAGAAGCGTTCGGGTGGCAGAGGTGCTGGAGAGCACCAGCCGAGGGGGTCGTTGTGATTTGCTGGCCCAGAGACGTCCCCGTCAGGGCCAGGGAGCTGCTGCCCTCAGACAGGCTTCGCTGGCTCTTTGCCAAGCCTCTTCCCTCTGCTTCCTGGGCCTGCACCTTCGGCCCCAGTCACTGACCCAGATCCGAGCGCAACAGCAGATGGGGTGGGATTGGGGTCACAGCACAGGGCGGGAGGTTCAGGCCTTGCAGCTGGGGGGACAGCGGCTTTGGGGTGCTGAGGACTGCCCTGTGGTGCCCTGGGGGTGGGCATTTGTGCCCCCCTGCCGCACCCATCCCACACGGCCACCCCAACCCCCAGGGGCCGCGAGCTGCACATGGCCGCCCTCTGCAGTGTGGGCCGCAGCATCTTGGGGGCTGAGCCGGTCTGTCATGGCAGTGAGTGGGTGGCCGCGGGCTGCCAGGCCACGGGGCGGGGAGAGGGCTTCCTCTTGCTAGGGCCATGCAGAGACTCAGGCCTTCCAGAGCACTGAGGCCTCTCGCCTCTGGGCCCCCAGGGTGCCTTTGCAGGGCACGCCTGCTGGCTGGCTCGGAAATACGGTCCTCGTATATGGGCCAACCTCTTACACAGAGTCAGGCCTCCTGAGGAGCCTGCAGCACACACAGGGGTGGAGGCCGCACTGCCTTCTCACTGACGCCCTCAGTCATTCTTGCTGCGGCCTGTGGTTGTGGGCCAGGGTGCGAGGTGCTGAGAGGAGAAACGGGCCCCTGCTCTCAAGGAGCTCCTAGCCCACACACGGGCCAAGCCCAGGACTGGGGGTGGGGCAGGCACTGGCGCCTTGAGGTGCTGTCCCTCAGACCTCGGTAGTCTGGGAAGGCTCCTTGGAGGAGGTGGCACCTGAGCTGAGTGCAGAGGGCAAAGGAGGCAGGTCATGGGGCGGGGAGAGAGAGTTCTGGCGGCAGTGGCTGTCCGGGGTGGCCGGACAGTGTGCGCGTGTGTGGCAGGTGGGATGGCGGCTGCGTCTGAGATGGGTCAGGCTGGCCCCAGTGTAGCCCGTGGCCTCTACAGGAGGCCAGTTTCCCTGTGGTCCCTGGGCTCTGCACCTCCCCTGGTGTTCCCTGAACTCTTCCAACCCCAGTCTGGCCTCAGCCAAGGACTCGGTGTCTTACTGTTAGGCTGGGAGTGAGAGGATGAGCCCCAAGGCCCCGGAGGGACTGGCCTTGTCTGGGTTAAACTCCAGCTGTGCCCAGGGAGGCACAGGGACCCAGGGTGGGGCTTAGGCTGCCGTCCTCCAGTGCACCCCAGTCAGGGCTGGGGTCACAGGGGCCGGCGACGCCCCTGTGGGAGGGGCTGGTGGACGTCCTGTGCCTGCCGCCTCACACACACCTGCACCTCTGTCCGCTTCAGGGCCCAGGTGACATGAGGAGGGGCTGACACTGCTGGACTTGGAGAGCTGTTGCTCGGACGGCTGGGCCAGGAAATCGACCCAGGTGGCCGTGGGGGCCATGCCTCTTTGCTCCTGGGCCACAGCCAGGGAGGGTCCTCTGAGGTAGCGTGGTCCTGTTGGTTGTGTGGCCGTGGCTCCAGGTGCAGACCGCTAGGTGGGGAGTGGGCACAGTAACAGACACTGATGATGGCATAGTCGCCGGTGTGTGGGTGGAGCTGCGGACAGGTTTGCACTGGGCCTGTGTCTGGAGGAGTGTTGCTGGGACTTCGGGGCTGGCAGGGATGGGGTGACAGCAGAGCCTTGGCCAGCCCGGCCCCTTTTTCCAACAGCTGCTGCTGCTTTCTTTGGACGCTTTGCTCAGCTTGGCTTCTTCCTGGGGCTGTGGCCAACATGCCTGAGCAGGGTGAGCCTGCGCCTGCCGCTGGGCCCTGGGGACCGACCTGGTGCAGAGAGGCCAGGGCTGGGAGAGACCCCTCAAGGGCACCCCTACTTCCCACCCCCTGCCCATGTTGGGGCCAGATGCGGGCGGTAGGGGATGGGGTGCTGAACTGCTCCCGGGACCACTGGCGGTGGGCAAGCGGAGAGGAGAGACCGAATGGGGGAAAGGGAAGAAGAAAGTTCAGGGGCATTAACCCTCAGGGAAAGGAAGGAATTCACCCCCTACAGCCACTCCCCTGCTCTGTGGCCCTGGGCAGGTTGCTTACCCTCTCTGAGGCCCCATTTGGGAGGATGGGCAGGGGGAGCACACAGCACAGGGCCGGCCCAGGGGTGCTGAGGCGCGTGCTCTTTCCCAAGGGAGCAGCTCAGGAGGACCCGGTCGCCCACAGGCGCGAAGTCTTGGCGTCTGTGTTTTAAGCTTGTTTGTGCTTATGACAGTTTCTTGCAATTGAGCTGGGACGTGCGCCCCACTTTCTTGTTTTCCTGTGTAGACTGAAAAGGCTAAAGGAAGAGATGGTCTCACCTTCTCACCTCCCAAGGGGCCAGTCCACGCTCCCTGCCCAGACCCTGCTTGAAAGGGGGGAGGAAGGCGGAGGGTGCCGGTGGGGCTGCAGTTTGAGGGGCAGAGGAGGGGCACAGCGCTGGGCGAGAGGGAAGGCCTCCTCTCGTTCACTCTTTCACTCACTGGAGGAGCCTGGCGGGTAGCAGGAGAGCACAGGCTTTGAGCCAGTCACACCTGGCCTGGCCACCAGCCTCGGTGTGCCCATCCGGGCACTGGGGAGCCAGAGGCCACGCTCTCAGAGAAGTCAGGTGAACTTGCGCCCTGCGAGGGATCCTGGCTGCCGCAGGTCCTGCTGGGTGATCGGGAGGGCAGGGCCTGTTGCACCTCTGCTGTGTTTTGTGATTTACCGAGAGCCATCACCCTGCTGCTTCCTGTCTGTTTCTCTCTGTGCCCTGGGAGGCAGGTAGGACTGAAATATGGTCCCATTTGGCAGATGAGATCACTGAGGCTCAGGGAAGTTCTGGGATTTCCTCCCTGCTGGGCCCCAGCCTTGGCCCCAGATTGGCCTTTCCCAGGTCCGAGTCCGGGCAGTGGGAGGGAGGAGGTGGGAGCTTGGAAGGCACTATTAAATCACAAGTGGGAGCCCTTCCCTGTCTTCCAAGGAACACGGGTACGAGGGCTGCCTTTGTCAGGGAGCACCTGGTGTGTGTTTGGGGATTTCACACTGCCCAGGATTTCCCAGCCACCCACAGGGAGGTGGGGTGCAGGCGTATGGGACCCCAGAGAATCAGAGTTGAACTTGAAGGTGGTTGGCCTGACCTTCCCTCCCTGGAGCCCCCGTGTGGGGATAGGCGGGTGGAGATGCTGCACTCACACCTCCCACCTCCCGCGAAGAAAGAGATGGGGAGATTCTAGGGGATGTTAGCAGCTTGGGGGGATTTAAGGATGAATTAATTGCCAGGCATATGCTGACTCTTGTCCTACACTGAGAAACAGAATCCACAATTAATTGGATGTATTTGCTGAACCTGGAACAGGACCCAAATGCTGTTCTTTTTCTGAAATATACACTAAGCCAGTTTATTTATTGCGTGCCGGTACCCCCAAGGACTCTGTGAGGCAGCCTGCCCTGGAAGGGGGCTTGGCTGAGCTGGAATGTCACCACCTTCCCCAGGCCGACCGACCAGCCTGTCCTGGTGGGTGGATTGTAGGCCCGGGGGAGGCTCCAGTGAGGGGGCTCTGGGTCCTTCCTGAGGACTCGGGGGCAGCACTGCCTGGATCTGGTGGGCCAGGTGGGGTTTCCAGGCCGGCCTGGTGCAGGCGCCTGCAGGAGCCTCCCTTAGCCGTGGGTGTGGGGCCGCAGGGCCTGGCTGGAGAGCTGAGTCAGCACCGTGGCGCCTGTGCTCAGTGCTGAGGACAGAACCTGATGCCGGCCTCTGACTTTGTGCCATGCACTCGTGGGTCACTCTGCCCGCTGTGCCCGCAAAAGGGGAGGCTGCCCCCGTGCCTGTGCTCAGGGCGTGTGCCCTAGCCATGTGGGGCGGAGAGGGGCAGGCAGTGGATCCAGGGATCCAGGGGAGGGATCTCTGCTCCTGCTGTCCCTCCCCTGCCAGGGCGATGGAAGGGGATGGTCGTTATTTAACCCTCTGGCTTCTGTGCGCTCCTCCTACAATGGGCAGCAGTCCTGCCTGCTGGACCCCAGTCTTGAAGGCAGGAGGCCCGTCCTGTCGTGTGTCTGCGTCGCGGCGCCGGCACACAGCAGGCACGCCACGCCAGGTGGATTGGAGTGAGAGACCAGGGACAAGGGCGGGAAAAGCTCTGTAGGGCACCTGCCGCAGTGTGGCCGGGGGAAGGAGCATCAGTCTTGAGTCTCACGGCCCAGGTTCAAATCCCAGCTCTGCTCCTCGTAACCCTTTCGACCTCAGGCAGGTCACTTTTCCCCTCTGAGCCTCAGTTTTCCTGTCTGTGAAATGGGTGATATCCTGCGTGGGAGGGTTGTCCTGAGGAATGAACGGAGGACAGGTGTCTCCGTGTCACACACGAGGACACAAGGCCGGCACGGGTGTTCAGCCGCACCACCACCCTGCATGTGTGCCCCTGGGGCCATCCGCCCGCGTCCAGGCCTTGCCCCTCCAGCGGTTGAGGAGTCCAGGCCCAGCGTGGGGTCCGGATGGTGGGGCCTGAGGCCCTGGGGAGGGAAGGACGGGGAGGGGACTGTCCAGAGAGGCAGTAGGGCAGAGGTGTGTGGCACCTCTCTTGCCGCCGTGAGGGTCGGGGCTGACGCTGGCGGGAGAAAGACAGGAGGCTCGCAGGAGGAAAGCACAGCCAGTGTCTCGCCACAGGCGCGGCAGGGCCCTTCGGAAGGGAAGACCCAAGCACCCTGGGCAGACTGCCTGTTTCTATGCTGAGGCTGGATGATCGGACAGTGGTGTAGACATGGGGTGCATGGCAGGCTGCGATCTCACGGGCTGCGGCTCGGATGTCCTTGGCCTGTGCCGCGCAGGAAGGGCCCCTCTGGGATCGCCAGGGGGCTTCAAGGGAGAAGGGAGGACGGAGAGGGTGGCCTTTCTGGAGTCCTGGCTGGCTCTGAGGAGCGACATCGCCGCCCCCATGGGGAAGAGGGCCTGGTTCCCCTGACTCGCCTGGGGGCGGGAGGGCGGAGAGGGCGGAGGGGCCTCCAGCCCACAGGCTGTGGCGTTCTCAGCCCCCACCGGCTGTTCCTGTTCCTGTTCAGGTGCAGCCTGGCATGGGTCTGTGCCCGCCGCACCCCAGGCCTGGCCCATCTGCCCCTCTGTGCTCTTGCCTTTGGCTCCATGCTGGGATTTTGTCTTTTTTTCTTCTTTAAGAGATCAGTAGCTCTGAGCTCAGCTCCTGTCTCTGTCGAATGGTGAATGGTTTCTCCCGATGAAGAGGGTGCTGGGGTATGGGGAGGCGGGAGGCGGGAGGGTGCTGGGGTACTGGGAGGGTACTGGGGTACGGGGAGGCGGGAGGGTGCTGGGGTATGGGGAGGGTGCTGGGGTACGGGGAGGCGGAGGGTGCTGGGGTACGGGGAGGGTGCCGTCTGGGATGGATGGCCCTTTGGAGCTCTGGAGGCAGTGACCTGCCCTGGGCTGCTGGCTAGTGACAGTCTTCTGGCTGCCCCTGCATCGGCCTTGGGCCATTGCCGGGCTGAACTAGGGGTGGCAGGAGCTCCGGGTGGCAGCCCCGCAGCTCAGTAGCTGGGCGGTGGCCGGCCTCTCTGAGCCCCACCGCGCCTGTGACGTCCTGTCCCTCAGAGGTCAGCAGGACTGAGTCATGCCGAGAGAAGACTGGCACCTGCTGGAGTGCACAGCCAGTCGGGTGGGCTGGGCTGTACCCCCCCGCCCCTCTCCACCCCGCCCTGTCCCACTGTGCACTGACCCTGGCATGGGCGGGTGGGGGACAGTGCCTTCCCCTGGAGCCCACTTCAGTTTCCTCCTTGCTCTCCACATTTATCTCAGACCACTCCCCCTGCCAGCACTTGCATAGCGGGGAGCAGGGTTAGCCGGGGAGCAGGGTTAGCTGAAGTAAGCCTGGAAAGCCCCTCTTCTCCCCTGAGCATTCCTCATCTGCCAGGGTGGGGCAGGGCTGTGGCAGGGAAGGGGTGGGAGAGGGCCAGGGGCACTGCAGGGTAGGGTAGGGCAGGGCAGGGTAGGGCAGGAGTAGGGCAGGGTAGGGCAGGGTAGGGCAGGGCAGGAGTAGGGCAGGGTAGGGTAGGGTAGGGGGGGGTGGGGCAGGGCAGGAATAGGGCAGGGTAGGGTAGGGCAGGGCAGGGTAGGGCAGGGCAGGAATAGGGCAGGGTAGGGTAGGGTAGGGGTGGGGCAGGGCAGGAGTAAGGCAGGGTAGGGCAGGAGTAGGGTAGGGCAGGGCAGGGTAGGGTAGGGGTGAGGCAGGCTAGGGTAGGGTAGGGCAAGGTAGGGGCAGGGCAAGGTAGGGCAGGGGCAGGATAAGGGCAGGGCAGGGGCAGGATAAGAGCAGAGCAGGGTAAGGTAGGGCAGTGTAGGGCAGGGTAGGGAAGGGACAGGGCAAGGTAGGGGCAGGGTAGGGCAGGGTAGGGCAGGTAGGGGCAGGGTAGGGTACGGGTGGGACAGGGTAGGGGAGGGTAGGGGCAGGGCAGGGTAGGGTAGGGGTGGGACAGGGTAGGGTAGGGTAGGGTAGGGTAGGGTAGGGGCAGGGTAGGGCAGGGTAGGGGCCGGGCAGAGTAGGGTAGGGGTGGGACAGGGCAGGATAGGGTAGGGTAGGGGCAGGGCAAGGCTGCCACAGACCTCTCTCACCTGTCCTGTCCCTTCTCAGGCGTTCTCTCCAGGCCCCACCCTGATCTGAGTACCTGTTCATCAGACACCCTTTCCCTTCCGGTCCCTTCCTACCTCTCCTCCAGCCTGGGCTTCTGCCATCTGAGGCCAAATGTGGTAGGCAGGTCCTGTCCTGGGCGGGGGTGTCCAGCC